CCGCTCCCCGGGGCCCTGCTGGCTGCCAAGATCAAGGTGGGGACTGGCCAGTGGGGCTGCAGGGAGCGGGACAGGGGCCTCTCCTCTGGCCATAGGGATGAGCCCAGTCCCCGTGGGGAAGAGCCGCACAGCGACTCCCCATCTGCCCCACCCCAGAGGTGGCTGCATCTCAGCACCAAGCAAGCCTTCCTTGTGCTCAGAGCCTTACTAAGCTCTGTGCAGTCCGGTCTTAAAGGTTTCTTGTGGTTCCTTGGCAGAATTTATCAGAGGTGATGAGGACCCATCGCTCCGGCTTCTCCTCCCCCTGCCAGGTACCATCGCTGCCTCTGTCCCAACCATGGGGGGGGGATCCTCCCTTCTCCCGGCCATGCCTCAGGATCTGGAGGAGGTAACTGGGAAAGGGTCTGGGAGTAACCTAAGGTTCCTGGACCAGTCCAAGAGTTCCTCTAGGATGTCATCTGACAAGGGAGTTGGGCAGAGAGGGGAGGATGGGGTGAACTACATTGCCCACAATGCACCAGGGATCCTTATTTTGGTAAGGAGCCGCTGGGCATCGTAGCCCTGACGCATCATGGCAGACGAAGTCTGGGAGGCCAGGATATATAGAACAACAATGCATCTGAACTACATTTCCCATAATTCCACCACCTCTCCCTTCCTCCTGTGTGAGCTGTGGCCCCAGTGCATCATGGGAAGCGCATGGGGCAGCGGGGAGGGAAGGTGGTGTGATCCCTGGAATATGGGACGAGAGTCCTGGGATCCATCAGGTCCAAGCCTGAGTCAGGACAAGAACTGGGGTTCAACGCCCCACTGGACTCTTGCCTGGGGCTATGTCTAGACTGCAAGCCTCTTTCGAAAGAGAGCGTCTAGACTGCACGTTGAACTTTCGAAAAAGCGGCTTGCTTTTTCGAAAGAAAGCATCCAGTGAGTCTGGATGCTCTCTTTCGAAGAAGCCCTATTTACATTGAAGAACGCCTTCTTTCGAAAGAGGAACTTTCGAAAGAAGGCGTTCTTCCTCGTGAAATGAGGTTTACCGCCATCGACAGAAAAGCCGCGTTCTTTCGATTTAATTTCGAAAGAACGCGGCTTGAGTCTGGACGCAGGGGAAGTTTTTTCGGAAAAAGGCTACTTTTCCCGAAAAAAAACCCTGAGTCTGGACACAGCCTGGGAGGCCACCAAGTGTACCCCACAGAGTGGAGGGCAGGCCGGTTTCCCAGGCTGCACCAGTAACCAAGGGCCAGTGTGGCCACGGCCAGAGAGGGCACTAGGGTGTCTAGGATGGGGATAGTCGTGGTCCAGCTGGCACAAGGCTGGGTAGATGCCAGTGCCCCAGGCTTGGATCGTTTGGGCTTACAGAGGAATGTAGAGGCTCCAGCCCTAGGTGAAGAACCCCCGGGGCGGGTACCTCGAGCGCTGCTCCCCCTGGCCCGACGTCTCCGCGTAGGCAGAACGTGAGACGTGGGTGGCAAACTCCATTGGGCGTCAGCCTCAGATGGGCTGGGGCTAGAACAATCGTCCCTCGGCCCCAAACGAGAGCTGGGATTCCCGCCTATCCCCCTGCTGCTGGGGGATCCAGTGAAACTGCCAGAGACCACCAGGCCCGCCGTGTGCTCTCAGGGGCCAGCCTCCAGCTGGGGTAGGGGTTTGCAAAGTGCCACTCGGGAGCCACGGTGGGCTGCTGTGGGGGTCACATTGGAGGCCCAAGT